TGATTCTATAAGTACTTGTCGTACTTTAATTCATATTCAGTCTAAAGCCATAAAGTATTATTAGACTTTGAATTATCATTAAGACATTGGAAGTTTCCCCTTTGAATATTCCTTAAATTTTATAAATACCTTTGAGTATTTCAAAAGTCCCATCAAAATGGTAACAATATAATGAAGCATCAAATTATTGTCGAGCTGAATTTATTCAAATAAAAGGAACATATGAAGAATTAAAAGAAGAAAATTATAAATTAGATAAAAATGGAAATAAAAAACGTAAAAGAATTGAAGATACTCAACCTTTTGAATTTGGTATACCAACTAAACATCGACATATTATTTCTAAAAAAGAAATGAATGAATATAATAAAGAAATATTATATGAAGATAATCAAAAATTAAAAAATATAGAAATTGCAATTAAAGATGGAACAATAAATGAAAAAATTATATTTAATAATATTAATACATGATGATTAAGTTCATATAAAGATATGAAAAATATTATTAGAGATAAAAAAGAATTTGAATTACCAGAATGGATGAAACAACGATTTTGGCGTCCAGTAACATTCTATTTATATGGTGATGGTGGAGCTGGAAAAACTGGATTAATAAATAAATTATTTTTTAATAATAAATCATTATATAATAAACCTGAAAATCAAACTGGTAAAAATTATTGGAATGGTTATAATGGACAAGAAATAATATTTTTTGATGAATTTTTTTCAAAAATCAGTTGGAGTGATATGGTTAATATTTTAAATGATACAAATCATAATGTTGAAAAAAAATATGAAGGATTTACACCTTTATTATCAAAATATATTTTTTTAACAAGTACTAAATCACCTGAACAAGCATATAATTTTAATGATTATGAATTAGAAGATGGTACACAATTGAAAAATAAAAAATCATTAAAACAATTTATGCGTCGATTAGATTATGTAATAAAATTTACTGGTGAATGGGATGATGATTTAGAAAAATGTACAATACAAATTGAAATTGAAAAAGGAAATAAAGATGATTTTTATAATATATTTTGGGATTTGAAATATAGTAAAGATGATTTAACAATAGAAGAATTGGTTGAACGAGTTAAAAAAATTAATAAAGATATTGATGGTGAAATTATAATAAAAAATAATCAAGTTTATTGGCGACGTCATTTTGAAAAATATAAAAAAATTTATTTATTAGATTATCCACAATGTGAAGAATTATCATATTATAAGAAAAAATTTATAGAAAATAAAAATAAACGTAAATTAGATAATGTAGAAAATAATAATATAGAAAATAATAATACAAAAAAACAATGTTTATAATGTAATAAATTTATCAATTATTTATTTAATTCATTTATATAAAAATCAAGAAGTTTTAAATTAAATTCAATTTCATTTATTTGTTGTTGAAATAATTGATTTATATATTCTTCAATTAAATCTATATCTTTTTCAAGTTGATTTATATTATTTTTAATAAAATTATTTTATTTTTCTTATTTTTAATTTCATTTTTTAATAAATTAATTTTAATGTTTTGTTGTTGTAAGTTATAATATTGAATTGATGATGTTTTAAAGTTTTGTTTTTTTTGTGATATTTTTTGTTTTTTTGATTGTTGTGATGATTCATTATTTTTTTTTCGTTTCATTGATGAATTTGTTATTGAAGAATTTTCTGGATCATATTCCTCTTCGCTTGAATTAATAGACATTTTGAATTGTTTAAAAAAAATAAAAGTTTACATTTTTAATTTATAAAAAAAATAATTAAAAAAAAGCTGAATTAATTTACTAATAAATTTAAAAAGCTGACACAATTTAATAGTAGTAACATTCAGCACTTATTAATAATATTGTGTAATTTTCAGCTTTTTATTTTAAAAAAAAGCTGAATTAATTTACTAATAAATTTAAAAAGCTGACACAATTTAATAGTAGTAACATTCAGCACTTATTAATAATATTGTGTAATTTTCAGCTTTTTATTTTAAAAAAAAGCTGAATCGATTTACTAATAAATTTAAAAAGCTGATAAAATTTAATAGTTATAATATTCAACCTTCATTGATAATATTATGTAATTTTTAGCTTTTTGTTTAAAAAAAAGCTTTAAAAAGTTATATATAATCGCTAGTATGATATTCAACAAACAATTCCCCCAGGAAAAGAAAAAGTTTCCCATTATTATTCTTTCGAATGGCAATTAATAGTGCTGAGGAATGGCTAGAAAAAGCCATTAATACAAACCATATTACTTTATTTGACCACCAAAATCTCAAACTATGCGAGTCTCTTGGCGAAGGAAGCTCTGGTCAAGTTAGGCGCGCCGAATGGAATCACAACCTTGCTTTAACGCTAAATGTTGCTGTGAAAAGTTTAAAAGGATTGCAAAATTCTACTGCTGATAAAGACTACCGAGAAATGGTTAAAGAGGTACATTCCACTTTTAGCATTTAATCTTACTCGGCAAATAATACATATATATTTTTTTTACATATATAGTTACAACTCTTACAAGACACTACAATGTCCCCAAACGTGGTACAATTCTACGGAGTAACCAAAGGTATTTTTTCATCAATTGTAATCTATTATTAGTTGGTTTATTATTTTCATATATATATATATATATATATATAAATGTGTATAATGATCTTTCCCTAGATCCAACCACAAATAATTATTTGCTCGTTCTTGAATATGCCGACGGTGGGTCACTTCGGAGTTATCTCAAAAAGAATTTTAACACAATGACTGGAAAGGATAAATTGGAATTGGCCAAACAAATTGCTAGTGGTCTCGCGTATCTTCATCATGAAAACATTATTCATCGAGATTTAGTTAGTATTTGTCTAAATAATTCATTAAAAAATGTCTGATGTCTAATAGAATTCATTTATTAGAATTCACAAAATATCCTTGTCCACAATCATGTAATAAAAATTGCGGATCTCGGATTAAGCAAAAGGACAGAACCTGATGGTATGAACTCGATGTCAGTTGTTCGTGGGCATCCACCATACATCGAGCCATTGTGTTTCAAGGGAAACTACTGGCCTGATGCAAGATCCGATATTTATAGCCTTGGAGTGGTATTATGGGAATTATCTAGTGGTCGGCCACCAATGACACATATCAGTCCATCAGCAATAGGATATAATGTTGTAATGGGCATGCGTGAATCTCCAATTACAGGAACACCCGATGGCTATGTGCAGTTATATACAGAATGTTGGGATGGCAAACCAGAAAATCGACCAAATATCGACAGTGTTTATAAGAGACTGAAATTTATCGGGTGGCCAGAAGAACAGGATGTCTATGACGAAGGATGGATGTGTATAAAAATCAATAATTTGTACCAAATAATTTTATTGATATTTTGTTTAATTATATGCATTCTATTATGAATTATTATTCTTTCCTTTTGCCATTTATTTAAGTGCTCAAGGTTTGCTAGAAACAGCCATATACGTTATTTGATTAAAGATTTGCGAGTCTCTTGGCAAAGAGTTCGGCAAAATATGGCGTGCAAAATGGAATCCCAATCCTTTGACTCTTGTTTTATTTTATTGATTTGTCCTTTTTCTCAACATTGGTCACATACTTTCACTGTTTGAATTTACTTTTTATAAGATAGATATTGAGTATGTTTGATTTATTAATTTGTTAGTAACAAAAAAATTTATCTCCCAAACTACTTTCGGTGTTTGAATTTTATCGTGATTATTACACATGATTACAACTACTAATAATTTAATTTAATTGAGTTAACCCGAACTTTCTGTTCATGAAAGATAACATAAACTAACAATAACGGGTTTATTATCGACTAAAATCATGTCAACTAAGATACATTGTATTTCACTTTCGACTATTCATGACTTTTGTTTATTAAATATTCCATAAAAAAATTATTTTATTCGTTGATATTAATTCTACAAGGACCGATAAACCCATAAATTACAGAATTTGAATGAATCATTATTATATTACAAGCCCGATTTTCTAAATAATTGAATTCCAAAAATAATTATCGAACCAACCGAGAAAAAATTCCATCCACTCAGCCAAATCACTCATCAAAATAAATAAATATCTATAAACATTGTACCCCGACTTTTTCTGTCTTCAGAACAGAGTCATCATCGTCAAATATCAATTAGTATCAGTAAACTCGTTGATTGATTACGTATCTTTTTAAAAGCTTCCATAAATCTATCGCCGATATCGGTAAGTTAATGCTCGAATAAGAATAATGCATCTTCAATAACAGAATCTGAAAGTTTGAAACTAAGCTCTTCCAATTCCCTCAATCTTCAACTTTTTCTGCATTTGATTTCTCCCAATCTGCATTTGGATTAGGTGGAAACAAGTGCTCCCTGCATCATAATCTCGAGGTATCCACATTTAAATAAAAGGAGGATGAATCAATATTGCGCGCATGATCACGTTAAGCCGTCTAACATTCTCATAATCATCTTTTGGCGGATATTCTTCATGGGCGGCGGAATTGAGCTGTCTTTGTTTATCATCTTGATCGTTAGATTTTGGCTTTGGCTTGGTATGAAATGATATTCGCGTATGATTTCTTCGATCTTTTCTTTATTTTGCCTCAATTTATCTGGCGCATGATCGATGTCATAAAGACCCGCCAAAACGCTGATACCCTTCGCAGAGAAGACACGTCGAGGGGTAGTTGACTCGCCCACAGATATTTGAAATGCTCGAAACCGATTATTATCGAGCTGCCCTACGTTATGCTCAATTTTTTGATTTTTAGTTCTTCATCGTATTTGACAAAATGCATTAATAAGCATTGTATAAACTATCTAAATAAGTCAATGCCATGCACCACAACTTCCTCTTCTTCAACATAATCGTGAGTACTATTCAATCAATAATAACGGGAGAACACACTAGAAAGTTAGTTGGTTGTTCAAGAGATTCATTTGTTACGCACTGCCATAAAAAGTATTGTTAATTAAATGTATCTCATTCCTCAGCACTGTTGATCGCTATTTGAAAGAATAATAATAAGAAAAATAATGAAATTAAATTATAAATTTATATAAAAGTATGTCTAATTTGTTTGATAATCAACATTGTAATATAGAAAATAGAATGAATACCAAGAATAAAAAATATATTTTTTATGGTATTCAATATTATAAAAGATCTATTCTTAATTCTTAGCCAAATGTTATACTGTACACTATTAAAGTTCTGCATTTTCATTTACAACAAACTCATGTCAAGAAATATGAAAACGTGATCTATTTTTTAATAATTTATACATAAAAAATCTTTGCAAATAGATTTACTATTGGAATAAAAAACAAGTATACGAGTAGATAAATATACGGTGATTAATCTATCTTCATAGTTGCCTTTTCTTCTGCCTCAGGTTCACCGCCACCACCAACAGAAGATCCATTAACCAAAGGCTCGGTGTTATTTCGAGCCCAGCACCAAATCTTTGCATCGTCAGATATTGCAACCAACCACACATTATCCGCGGAAAATGCCACCTGTCGAATAGCATTATTGCTTTGGTTCACCTCCAGCATACGCATTATCATGTGATCATTTTGGTTGATTAGTTCTAGTTTTTTTAATCGTTTACTGGGCCCGAGGTTATGTTGATTACCGTGATCTGTTCGTTTATTCGAGGAAGCCGTATTGGATGATGTTCCTTTGTCATTTTTATTCGTTTGGCTTTTTACTTTTGAAGATGGTGAAAGAATCTCAAACTTGTTGTTGGTTTTTTGGGTGGCTGATTTCGGGATACCATCATGATTATTATTATGACCAATTGGATCAACAGGCAAATTAACGATTGTTTCTTCTTGCTTTTCGCCCTCTCCTTCTTCCTCCTCATCGTCATTGACTTGTCTTCGGTCTCTCTTTGATTTGGATAATCTGGTATTAGGAGTTGAGGATGTGGGTGTCTTTTTCAAAACACCACCGCCGCTCCCACCCGCGGTTGTTGCATTCTTACTGTTACTTCTTGTGACGATATTTGATTTCGTGGTGTTTTGGGATCTTACGTTTCCGCCGTACGCAATCTTTTTCTTGTCTTTTATGTACTGTTCGATATAGAATGGGATGGCTTTCTGCAAATCGTACATGTAAATTCTACCTATTTGATTACCCATCGCCAGAAATTTATGATCCGAGGATATTCCGCATCTGATAAACCAAATATCGCAATTTTGGAATGGAAATTCACAGATGATGTCGAATTTGGTGGGTCTCTACGGAGAAGCAAACAGACATAATTAATAATACAATCAAATAATAGACAGTAAATTCAACAAGTCAATAAAGTTGTAGCAATTTTGTTTACTTTGCTTTCAATTGCTGGACCTCCGGCAACAGGAGTTTTTCCTAACCACGCTGCTCGAATGTCATCATCATCAACATTTTCAACAACACTACTACTACCATCGTCATTACGATATCCAATCGCAGGAGACAAATTAACATCGCAAGCTTTCCACATAATAATTCGCGTCTCGGTTGCACACCTCGACATCAACATATCGCCATACCATCGTATACAGTCGACGTAATTGTTGTGCAAATCAATAGTCGAAAATAATGGAAAATGGACAAAGATGGGCAACCGAGCAGGTTTATTAGGACCCGCGCAAAAGCATGTTTGGATGTGATGAAGCCGCTTTTGACATCGTACCGGCAGTGATGTCATTGTTGAGGCCGACGGTTGCGTCTGGGACGTGAATGATGCTTGGATCGCATTTTTTAGAAGTGGAGTGCATAGTGACCATATTTTTGCGGAATGGTCCATTGCGGCGGAGGCAAAGTAGTCGCCTGATAGGTGAAAATCCTGTTACCTCGATATTTAATTAGACATATTAGAATATGTATAATGTTATGAAAAATGTGATATTTTTCGACATACAATACTTAATACAGGCTCACGATGTCCACATTCACCTCCAAACACGGCAATCACACGTTCAGTTCTTATATTCCATAATCGTATCGAAAAATCTTTACTGGCTGAAAGTAAAAGATAGGGTGATAATGGGTGAAATTTCAATTCATTAATTTCCTAAAAAAATTTATAGGATTACATTAAACTAAATTTCAAAGAATCCACTTTTAATAGCGTAAAAGTTGAAGAAGAAAGGACATACATACATCTCCATGTCCTGCAAGAACCTAGATATTGAAGAAATACATTTCAGATACACGAAAAGGTTCTTGACCGGGAGTAATAACAAATCAAAATGAAAATCTATCTCACTTTCACCAGAGATTTCTTGATAGTATCGATCACTTTTATTAGACCGGTAGCACCGGCCACCGCTAATAAAGGTAGTCCAGTTATTAGGTCATAAGACCATGTACAGCAGTAGAAATTTTCTTGGTCCTGCAGGGTATTTTGGATAAATGAATAATGAATATATCCTAAATATAGCGATATGACCAGTGTGACCGGATATAATGGCCATAATGACAACATAGCCAGGTTTCAACAAAAACACGGAATTCTTTAGATAATAGCGATCCTTTATACCCATGATATCTAGTCACACTATTTATACAGATTCGTATAAAATCTATACATTTTCATCCTCGTATACTTGCAATATGTTAACACCATCTCCAGGAGAACTTGTAGACGATACATTTTGGCTCAGTTTAATAATTATAACCTACAGATTATAAATCGAACAAGATGTTTTAGAAGAAATTGTACGAGGTGCTAGCAAGTCATGAACAATTTTTGAAAAAAGCATGCAAACCTTCAACCCACCAACAATAGCAAAAATAGCATCGCCATTCGGGTCGTACTCGTTAAAACTTAACCCGTAAAACGGCGCTTTCGAAGTCATTTCCTTTTGGATAATTTCAAAAATGTAAAATCTTTAGATCTTGGAATTTTCGGCAAGGTAAAAAAGCATGTCTTTTTCGTTTATATATGAATAGTCTTAATATAATTACCGAAATAACATGTCTTATTCCGTACTCTCTCAAACAATCCGTCATGCTTGTCATTTATTTATTACGAGAAAATACGCGTTCTAAAATAAAAAAGCGTGGTAATACGTATAAGACGCGATTAATGGAAGTTGCACTTCATTTTTACTGATCATAAATAAAATATACATAATGCCCAAAAAGTCAAAGATCTATTATCTATACAAACTAAAGGACAAACAAATAAACAAACAATAAACAAATAAATATAAATAAACACAACAAATACTCTATTTATATATATATGTGTATGTATTTATATAAAATTTATGATAATTTACATTGTCCATCATCCTGCATGGCGAAATCATTTTTACCAATACCGACAATACTGCTATTATTATTGTTGCTACTATTCCAATCCATATCCTCGACAACAGGTGGTCTCTCAAATGCAGCTAAAAAACGAAACAGCGTAGCGGCTTCCCGTATTCGTGAATACTGAACACAGAACGCTTGTATCTCTATGAAATACTCGTTTATGTCAATTATGTTGTTGTTGATTAGTGATTGAAGGAAAAGACAAACCTATATTAATAATTATAAATACATGTTAATTCGAAACCTAATTTGCTGATAATAATCATGTTAAACCTACCAAACGAACTTGCCGATATTGAATATTTTGATTTTCGTTCTCGTCACACGCACGAATACAATTAGAAATGTATTTATGCAAAAACTCTGGGGGCAGTTGCCAGGCCGTTGCTAGCCGATTGACAACCTCCATCGAAGATCTCAATCTTGTTACAACGTCGGTTGTAGTAGAGTCGCGAGACACGTTGACAGAGGAAACGAGTACTTGTAAATATCTATAAGTGAAGACAATTTACGTGTTTAGAAACGATAAGCGTGGTTGTAGTTTTTATATTATATAAAAGAGATATGTATTCGGTGACTCACTGTCCAATTCGATGAGACGACAATAGTTGCAGTAGAGCTTCAATTGCTATTCTAGGATTGTTTTCAATTAGATCGGGTAACATTTCGGGTGAGAGATTACAATGGAATACCAATTTAGAATCTTTTTCGAATTGATTTAGCATATACTAAAAAAACCATAATTTCCTCTCGTTAATTAGAACTGTTCGTCATAATCATCTGGAATATGATAAGCAAATTGTAATCACAAACACGTACCTGCTCTTCAGGAATAGTCAAAGCTTTATGTATAGCTTTTGTCATCAAGAATCGAACTTCATCTCTATCAGAAAAATCTGCTAGTATATTATAGTCCCATTCTATCTCGGGAACAAATCCATGTGGATTGAGCCATTGAAGCTGATATTGGCATGAAATATGTATTGTTAATTAATAGAATGCATTTCAGCAGGCAAATCATAAGACAATAGATAAATTAAGTTCACCTCGTGATGCATTATAGGCATAACTGGAGGAGCTGATAGAACCGCTCCTTCTTCACTTTTAATGTCATCAAGAGCGACCCATGATAAAGGTTCAGAGATATCTTGTCTATGAATAGCCCATTAAAGTAATCGAGTTTAGATAATGATCTTTATCATTTAAGATTGCATAAATCTAATTGATACATACTTTATCTGGTCATCCTTGCTTGGTAGTCGTACATCTAATTCGGTTTCAATATAGTATTCGAGTTTAGCGATATTAACTTCTTGACCGCCAAGAAACATTGAATTTTCTGCTACAGAGAATTGACTAAAAACATCCAATGCCGTCTTCTTGCCCAACTAATTATCAGAGTGTTATCGTTAATTTCATCATTCACAATTTTGTATTCACAGGGTATGATACTCGACAACACAAAAACGAAAAATACCTTTGCACCATTATCAGTCAAAATCAACTTCCCAACACGAAATTCAACAAGAAGTTCGTGATTGGTTTTCAAATAAGAATAATTCGAAGAAAGGGTTTTGTAGATATTGAGAAATAACAAGAGGAACGGATTTTGATGGATGGGGACGACATTGTACAAATTGTACAAAATGTAAAGAGCTACGACGCGTGCTTTTGCCTATGTAAATAGTGTTCCCACGAAAAGATCCCATATATACACACATCAACAATCAACACCACTCTTCGGCAAAATAACACGGGCGAAATACGACAAGATTTCGAGAGAAAGCAAATGATATATATGGATACTACGACAATTCAACCTGCAAGTCGCCACTTTCCAACGAGGTCATCAACGCGCAAGCGGCCCCAAACCTTTTGTGCTCAGGAACAAGAGTTTTGAACTCTGAAGCGATGTTTTCAAATGTCTCGTCGACTATATAAAGCAGATTCTGGAACGCGGCAAACTCCTCCATTGTTGCTGTAGTTGTAGCTGTCAGAAAAGTCGACAGGTTAAACCACTATTTGGGAAGAATCCATAAAGTTCCTTAACACGTGCCACAAAAGAATTTCGTAACACGATCCACTAATTAGTCTATGAGGGAATGCATCTTTTATTTACTCATAAAACCTTATATATTCGCAATGCAAAGTTCGCGTAATGCAATAGATATCAGCAGTGCCTCGGTATGAATTTATCCTAAGGTTAAGAAATCAAAGTAAAACTTAGCTTCGTTGTCTCTTCTTTTCTGTTCATAGGATATATGTTTGATTCGAATTCCTCGGCTTTACCTTTTATGAACAGGTGGTTGATCTCAAAGCGGAGCTTTTTAAACAAAAAGAAGAATTCAAACAGCAAAAAGCTGCAGCTGGTGATCAACCAATATCTGCAGCATCTCGGTTAAGAGGAAAAGTTGGTTGCTGCATTTTCTTTTATTCTCGCCTTGCTTTGAATATTTAATGTATCTAAAACGGACATATCTTAGAAACCAGGGACATGGGTTCGTCAAAATAAAGGAGTTGGCGAAAGGGCAAAGCGCGACCAAGCTTTTCTCGATGAAGTTGGAGAACCATCTCTTGAAGCGAGTCGAATAGCCTTAGAGAAAAAAGCAAAATTGTATGACAAGTTGAAAAAGACAGGAATAGAAGGTATTAATGTTCAAGCAATTTCTTGTTTTGCTTGCGAATTGGATTTTCGGCTTCTTAATGCTAATTTTTTATGGATTAATCATAGATGAAACACTTGCCGAAGAGATATTAGTAGATTTTGATCGTAAGGCATTTGAAGAAATATCGGTAATTAAATCAACCTTGTTTTTTTTTACTAATTAATTGATTAATTAATTAATATTATGATGATTATAGGATAATAATGATGAAGACGAAAATAATAAGCAAGATGAAGACGATCCTTGGGTAGAATACGTTGATGAATTTGGACGTACGCGCATAGCAAGGAAAAGTCAAGTCCCAAAAGAACCATTACCGCCACTCCCTTCTAGGTTCGTATCCTTTTTTTAATAAAAAGGCATACTAAATCGTGTACTTTCAATGCCCTTTGTTTGGAATTCTCAAATTTACTTTAACGTTTATCAATATTAATAATAGTAGTAACATATCACTAGAGGATGGCGACGAATATCAACCTACAATGATGTCGGCTGATATGTATATGGAGCAAGAACGGCTACAATGGGAAAAAGAAGCTTTAGAAGAGTTGAAAAGTGGGTATAATATTTTATATGTGTATGTTCTTTTTTGGTTTAAATTAAACTCATTAGATTTTTTTGGCACTTTTTTGTCTTAGATCCTCAGCATTATGACGAGACTAAAGGTAACTTTATCTTTTTCCTCTTTTATATTCGATTAGATATGGATATGCACAAAACTAATACTGATAATTGCTCCAAAAATAGAAATTCGAACAAAGGGTGTGGGGTTCTATCGGTTTTCAAAGGATGAACAAGAACGTCAGGAGCAAATGCGTGCATTGAAAGAGATGCGAAATGAGGTTTGTATTTTCTATTTTCAAAACACTCTAAATTACAATTTTTTGCATAACACATAAAGATCTACATCAAACCATAATTTAGACTCTACAAAGACGGTCACTCAAGCAAAATATCAAAGATAAGCGAAAATTACAAATAGAAGCACGAATGGCGTTAATTCGTGCCAAGAAATTAAAAACCACTGAAGCTCCAGATTCTTCGAGTAGCACTGGCACCATTATATCTGAAACCCTACCATCAACTGATGATAATATTGTTGATACATTATCCTCGGCGATTTCAAATAACGATAACAATAACAATAATGATAATGATAATAATATAGCCCTGCTGCAGTCAACCTTGGCAGAATCAGAAGTTCGTGAAGAAGATAATGAAAAGGCTGTTATCGATTTATTGGCGAGTATAAGAAAGCAGGTAGTGCAAAAGAAGTAATGACAATAATGAATATCGTTAATAATGATTGGGAGGGCCGGTGAGATTATTTATTACTTTATTATTTGAAAATTTGATCACCAAGCTCAAACAACCAAAAAAAAACTAACAATTTGTAAAGATGTATTTTGCATGATAGATAAATATGTTGGTACATATAACCGACTAAATCCATCAGTTTAATTTTTTAATTTCCCATAATAAACACACAACACCTTGAACTTGACAATAATAATTAAATACACAAAAGTTTAACTTTCAATTTTTTTCTGTATAACAGCATTTCATTCTCAGAGCAAAAATGGCATAAATGTTTGTTTTATTAAATAACATAATTCAAACCTTCGACTATCACTCCGACTCCTGTCTCCCATGTTCATTCTCTGTTTTAATATTACTACTATGTTGTAGCTGAAGCTTAATACTATTATTATGCTCCATCACCTTCTCCACTCCAAGATAAACTATGAAAGCGGCAACACCCCACGTGAACCCGGGTATCAACCGCATCAACTGGTACCGCGGAGAAAACATTTCGTGGTGTCGCCAAGCTTCGCGACGTGCCCACGGGTCGTGATATTTCTTTGTGGGTAATCGGTTGTATTGTTTCCAATGTGGTGTAGTTTTGGGTGAAGACATTGTATTTTAGCTGGTGGTGATAATGCAGTTTATGTTCTTATATTACGTAGTTTTATTTCGTTTTAGAAAATATGGTAAACGATTTTTTTAATGCATTATCGCGTTAACAAAATTTTAGGTTTGCCGTAATCTTAATTTGCCGAAATTATTTAATCGTAAATAATATTGGAAGTCTAATTATTTTAGACATCGAAATTTTTGCGGTCAGCCAAAATTATATAGAGCTTTCGTAATATTTATATATTGCTATAATTATTAAAGACACCTGTAATTCTGTTATGGCTGCCGTAATCACTAAAGGCATCCGTAATAATAGTTGCCATAATTATACACTCGTAATTCTGTAATGCTGTAATTATTATAAGTACCCTATGCAGTGAATTCCCATGGAGCACGTGGAAAATTTTCACTGGAACTAATGTAATGTTAACCGATCAAAATGAAGTTCCATGATCTGCTTGTATCGTGATTTTGAGAGCGGGTTTTGGATGGAATTAAAGAATTATGTTCGAGAATTTACAAGATATGGATTATTGTAATATTGTATTATTTTTTTAATTAACTACTGCTTTTTACATTTTATTTAATTTATATATTTATTTTGATTGTTTAATTATGTGTTACTAGAAGTTATTAAATGTTATTAAATCTTTCATTCGGTAACAACTTATTACTGGAATTACTATATCACATAATTTCATCCAGTTAGTTCTAGTAATCTTCCAGTTCAAGAAATTCTTATTGAATTGATCTAGTAATAACACTATACTAAGATATTAAAGAAATAACAAATATTTATTTTATTTAATACATGCATATAAAATTATATTAATATTTAAAATTTTTTTAAATAAATATTAGCTAATATTTGTCACTCTTCTTAGTATTTTAATCATAATAAAAAAAGTATTGATCATGTAAAATATAATTTTCCTGGAAAATAATGGTCAATTAATATTTAAATTAACATTAAAAATCACAGAAAATGTTTATTTTTCTAAAATTTTTATGGTAATTATAAATCGTTTGGCTAAATACTTTTTTATAATACTCTAAAACCAGTTTCTTAATAAAGTTTTTGAAATATTAAAGATTTTTTACAAATAGTTCAGTTAGGAATTTTCACTAAATAATGTTTAATAATTTGAAAACTATATTATTAAATTAGTTTTTGTTCATTAAAAAAAATTGTTTCTCTGATTTATATCTAGGTTATTCCAAAAATGTTTCTTGAAAATTTGAAAACTATATTATTAAATTAGTTTTTGCTCATTAAAAAAACTGTTTTTCTTATCTATATCTAGTTAATTCCAAAAAATCAACATAAAATATTAATTATTTCTTAAAATATTTAAAAAAGTAAAAAAATTTATATTCTTTGAAAATTTTTAATAAATAAATTATTATATTAATATTAAAAAATAGAAAAAAATATTAAATATTAATATTTTTAAAATATAAAGTTTTAATTATATAATAAAGTTTTAAATTAAATTATTATGTAAAAAAAATTATAATGAAAAACTGTTAGCTATTATTTTTTTTTGGAAAACTATAAATCTTGTCTGATTTTTTAATTAATTTAATAATAATTATTATATAAATAAATTTTTTATTAAAGCTTTTTTTATAAATTTTATTTTATATATATTACTGTAAATTAATAATTTAGCATTTTTATATTTATATATTTTTATTAAATAAATTATAATATATATAGTAACTAATAAAATTATAAATTATATATACAATTTTATTAATAAAATTATTATAATTTTGTTACTTACTATATTAATAATATCTATAATATAATTCTTTAATAGAAACTATAAATAATATTATTAATATTATTATATTTATATTTTAATTATTATAATTAAAATAATAATATATAATATAAATATTTAATAAAAACTAAATAATTTATAAATAAAAAATTTTTTAAGAATTTTAAAGATTTTTTATATTAATTCTTGTAAAGATTATAATTAATATAATTAAAAATAAAAATATTTAATAAAATAACTTTAACAAAATTAAAATCAAAATATTAATTAAAAATATATTTCAAATTAATTTAAAAATATTATAAAATTTATTTAAATTATCTAAATAAAAATAAAATATATAGTAACTCAAAATTATAGAATTATATGTACAATTTTATTAATAAAATATAATAAAAATTAAAATATTTCTCTTATATAAAAGTTTTCAATTTTATTAATAAATATTTTTTATTTTTATATTAAAATAAAGACTATAAATTATAGTTTAATATATATTTTTTCTGTATTTTTAGATTTTTTCTGATAAAGTTGTTCTAATTGCAAAGTTATTGCAAAATTTTTTATAATTAAAATATAAATTTAATTATAAAAAATTTTTGTAATAACTTTACAATTAGAATAACTTTATCAAAAAAAATCTTTGTTTTTAAATTTTAATTTTTATTATATTTTATTAATAAAATTACACATATAATTCTATAATTTTGAGAGTTATTATAGTTAACTCTTTTTAAATACACATACTAGAATTCTATTCTATAAATATATATCATAAATCAGTTTCAAGTTAATAATATTACTAAATAAAATACTCTTTATAAATATACAAACTTTCTAAATATGCTTTCAGATTTGATTTTTTAGTGATATATATTTAAAAAGAGTTAATTATATATATTTTATTATTAAAATACAAGATCTAAAGTTAATTAAATAAAAAAATTTGTTAATAAATAAATTTTATTTATAAGTTAATATTTTTATTAATTAAAATATATTTTTTACATAAGAAAATATTTTTTTATATAAAATTAAAACTATATTAATTATATATTTAATATTATTATAAGTATCAAATTAATATTAAATTTATTATAATTATAATATATTAATCTAATATATTATTATTATAATTAAAATATATTATATTATTTTAAAATTATTCATATGCTAAGTAAATAAAAAATTTATTAATAATAATATTATTATTTTATCTTGATAATAAAAAAATATATTGTTATATATTAATCTATAGATTATATAATTAAATATTTTTATAATTAAACTATTTTGCTTTTTATTATATATAAATATAGTAAAAAAATTTTTCTATAATTACATTTTTTTATAATTATCAAATTTGCTTTTTTAAAAATAATAATTATAAAGAGATTTGACTGTATAATTAATTATAGATTAATTATTGAAATATAATATATTAGATATAATTAAAAACAAATTATAATTATAAATAATAATATAAAAAGAATTTCAAATCTGAGATATTTGAAATTTTTTTCTAATAATTATATAATTTATTAGTTTTTTAAAAAAAATATTAAATAAATATTAAAAAATTAATAAATATTAAAAAGAGTTAATTTTATATATTGTTACCAATTCAATAAATTATTATCAATTCAATATGTAAATACATAAATAAAAATATAGTTATAGTATTATATAATAATCTTTCATTATAATATTTCATATTATTAGATTATACATATTTTATATCTTATTAGATAAAAGTTAAATCACGTGAAGCGAGCTAACAAGTGAACAAACAAATAAATAACTAAACAAATAAGTGAATGAATATTAGATCAATAGAATTTAAGTGATATAGCAAACATGAATTCATATAGCTGATAAGTTATATCTTAGATTTGTATAAAAACAATATGTATTATAGTTATTAAAATTAAATATAAACAAGTTCTTTTAAATAATAATTCTCAATTATCACGTCTAATTAGTTATCACATAATTTTGATCATTCAAAGAAATAAAGTTTGTACTTTATATAGAGTAAATAATTAAGCACAAACTCCTTTCTATACTCTTTTGACAAAGTATTCATTTTCTGGTATAATAGCTTTATAAGAAATTATATAAATCTTGAATCAAAATATATCATAGTAGCTTAAGCAAGATTGTCAGGAGTACTATAAAAGTTATTATTTTTATTCTAGACTTTCTGAACATATTGTAATAATGTCTATTAAACATTATATTAAATAAAGGAATTATTATTATAATTTATAAATCTGTCTTTGAGATTGTATTGCTAATAATACATTGCTCAT